ACCTCTTTAATCTATCAAATGCTGAACAAGGTTTTGTGGCTGGGAGCTGAAGGCAGGCAAATACAGTCCAAGATGCAAAATTGTAACAGTGAGGCTAACTAAACACTGGAGCAACTTTCTCTAGGTATGTGGGCTCTCCATCATCTGAAATCAAGGTTTGAATGTGTTTCTAAAATGTAGCTTGTGGGGTGTTGTGGGAGCCATGTCGGCCCTAGAATATGAGACAAGGGAAGTATCTTTTATTGGGCCAACTTCTGCTGGTGCAGGACTACACAGAGTTCTAACCGCTGAGCTCTAGATCAGCCAGAGGGCACGAATTCCTGGGAGCAGGAGTCAGGATGAGGTGTTCCGGCCTGTGTTATGCAGGTCAGACTAGAGCAGTGGTCCCCAAACCTTTACCTCGTGCCCCCCTTACGCTTCTGGAGCTAGGGCCAGGAGTGGGGCCAAGGCTTTGGGAGAGGGGGATGCAGGCCCCCGTTAGGGGGCTGAGGCTGGGGACAGGAACAGAGCCTTGGCCAGCAGCTGGGGTCCAAGGCATGGGAACGACAGCCGCAGCCAGAAGCAAAGCCCCAGGTTTGGGGCCAGAAGCTGGGACCCTGAGCCAGCAGCCATAGCTGGGGGTGGAGCCTGGAGAGCAAGGTTAGAGACAGGGCCAGGAAGTGGGTGGCATTCTCTCCTCACCGTGCCATGGGGACTGGCTGAGGCACCAACCGCACCTTCCCACTCCCCCAAACATTCCTCTGTGCCCCCCTAGAGGGGCATGCCCCACAAATTGGGGGTCTCTAGACCAGGTGATCATAGTGGATTCTTCTGAGCTTTAAATCTATGAATCATCCAGTCTCATCTTCCACCCACCACAGGCTGCAGCATTTCGCCCAGTGATTCCTGCATCCAGCCCACTATACGTTCCAAGCGTGAGAGCAGCGCCCTAGAGTGACACGTCCCATACACATTTACTGCTCCATCCTCTGTTGGTGGGTGCAGCCTTCTCCGGGAATAAAATGCACCTCCTGCCCATGGCTGCTCTGAGCCACCCCCCTACTGCCCCACGGGAAGGAAAACTACCAGGCGTCTCAGCAGCAGAGAAGCCACTGGAAGGGCCTGGGGAATAGTAGCTAATATTCTTAACCAACCCTTATGCGACTCCTTCAATGTCGGAAGGACGCATGACTGTGCAGATGACAAGACTGGGGTGAGGTGTCTACAGTCGGTTCCCCCACTCATGGCCTTGCACTTTATGATTGACCCCACCTGCCCGAGTGGCACAGCCTACCGGAGGTGCATCCTGAAGCTGCGGCTGCACATGGCGGTAGTGCTCCCCACCCCCACCCAGTGGGGCCCCAAGCCCGTGGGAGAAGAGGAGGAGTCTGCTGTGGGTGCCCCAGACCGCCCTGCCCCCTGCACTGCCAGCCCGGGAGCTCTTCATGCGGCTGGGGGAGCAGTCGCTGCAGCCCTGCATGGGCAGAGCTGGAGCTCCTGGCCTGGTGTGTGGCTGCCGGCGGTCTGGGCTGCAGAGCCCCATTCAAACTAGGCCCCGCAAATAATCACACTGACCCTGGCTGATGATACTCCCGGTGGTGGCAAATGATGGGAAGATTAAGACTTTTGGACCAACTTTGGAGACATCTCACCTGTTCCACAGTTGATCTACTACACACATTTCCCAGATGAGCTAAAACCCAATGAGCGGTGCAGTTCAACCTTTCCAACTTGCTGCACAAGGTGGAAAATGCATCGTTTGCTCCCTGCTCTCACAATTGAGATGTCTAAGATACTTAGACTGCTCCTATTACCATGTAACTGAGCACTTCACAGTCTTTACTGTATTTACCCTCACAGCACCCCAACAATAGACAAATACTGTTTTACAAATGGGGAACGGAGGTAAAGAGTAATAAGTGACTTGCTCAAGGTCATACAAAACAAGGAACTGCCTATAGGTGTCTCAAACCCCAGGCTAGTGACCTTATCATTGGATTAGCCTCTGCTTATGAAGAGAATGGCAGCATCTTTGTGGAGAGCCTCAGGTTTTCGTAAGGAACAGATGCAGATATCCCTCATCGAGGCTGGCATAGTTTCACTACCAAGCCTGCAAAATTTAATCTGCTCTCATTACTGTCCAATCCTACAGTAAATGTTTGAGGTATAAGTTTTTCTAATCTTAAGTGGTGCTCTAGTGATTACAGAGGGTTAGTGGATACATGGGGAGAATATGTCTGATAGGAGAGGTCTATTTAACGTAGCAGACAAAAGCAGAATGAGGTGAAGGTGAAACTAGATAAATTCAGTCTACAGTAAAGGAGCAAATTTTTAACAGCCAGCAGAGTGGATGATTGGGACAGTTTAGGGGATGGGGAATCCACCAAACCTCTTTAAAGTCTTTATATCAAAATTGGACATCATTCTATAAGACATTTGCTAGCTCACTCACAAGGAATGGGCTTGATAGTAGAATAGCTGGGTGGAATTGAGTGGCTGTGCTATTCAGGTGACCATAATAGCCCCTGCTGGCTTTAAAATCTGTGGGTATGTCTAGACTACATGGCTCTGCTATGTAGATTAGCTTTCTAGACATACCCAAATGAAGCGGCAATTTAAATAATAGCCGCTTCATTTAAATTAAAACGGCTGCCACGTTGTGCCGCTCAGCTGTTTGGTGGCACAGTGCTGTAGTCTGCACGCTCCACGGTCGACATCAAAGGCATTTGTCGATCTCCCCAGTAAGCCTCATCCCACGAGGCATACCAGGGAGGTCAACAAATGCCTTTGATGTCGACCGTGGAGAGTTCAGACTACAGCACTGTGCCGCCAAACAGCTGATCGGCACAGCACTGCAGCCATTTTAATTTAAATGAAGCGGCGATTATCTAAATACCCAAATGAAGTGGCAATGTCTAGTAAACTAATCTACATGGCTCTGGTGACAGAGCCATGTAGTCTAGACATACCCTGAATGAATGGAAAGAGCCACTCTCTTTCCTTTGAAAATAATACTGCTGATTTGAGACTTCACATCTCTCCTCTTTTGGATCAGTTATTCTACATAAGAATAGCCAGACAGGATCAAACTGAAGGTTCATCCAGCCCAGTGTCCTGTCTTCCAACAGTGGCCAACCTCAGGTGTCCCCAAAGGGAGTGAACGGAACAGAGAATCATAAAGTGATCCCTCTCCTGTCACCCATTCCCAACCACTGACAAACAGAGGCTAGGGAGACCATTCCTACCCATCCTGGCTAATAGCTACTGATGAACTTAACCTCCATGAATTTATCTAGCTCTTTTTTGAACCCTGTTAAAGTCCTGGTCTCCACAACATCCTCTGGCAAGGAGTTCCACAGGTTGACTGTGCACTGTGTGAAGAAAAATTTCCTTTTGTTTGTTTTAAACCTGCTACCTAATGTCATTTAGTGACCCCTAGTTCTTGTCTTGTTGAAACAAACACATGACTTTTCCTTATTGACTTTCCCCACACTAGATCAAATAATCCTCACCTAGATTCCAAAGACTGTTTGAAGCACCCTGCTCTGGAGGGATTTGACTTCAGTGGAGCCAGTACTTCAATCTAAAAAGTTCAACCAGCGGCTAAGTCACATCAAACAGATATTTGCAGGAAAACAAACAGTCACCACAAAGCAGAAAGAAACACAGGGCAATCAGTGGTCTGTGGTCTAGGGCTGCCGTGACTGAGCAAATACAAATAGCAAATGCAGAACTATTGCCATATGACAATAAACATGCTGCACTCTAGAGTCATTCCTGTGACATGGGGGACTCAGACTAAAAATGCCACAAAATGATTGCCTGGTGCTGGGCAATTAAATTCTTTAGCAAGTGTCCCTCCCTCACACATGACCAGTAAACTGAAAAGTGGTCAGCCCTCCCATAAGAAAAATGCCTGGGGACATAATGCTGGTCTACAATCCTGGAAACTTGGCACTCTCTTAGTGAATAGCTGTCAAGCTATTCATATATCCATCTGCCCCTGAATTTCATTGTATCTCCCTCATTGGAGTGTCTGAGCATCTTCCATATCAAAACCTGTTTCACATTAGGAGACTTCATGAAGGCTCTATCCCTCTCCCTTTTGGGGCATAAATGCACTTGCAGCTACGGTATATCTTTACTGAAATATTTTGGGTCACCTAAGAGTTTTCTTTATAGCCAGCCTATTGCTAGTCGGTACACCTGGCCTTCAGTACAAGGCATTCCAGGAGGAAAACCTCAAACATAAGTATGATTTCGCATCAAATTAATGTTCAATTTCTTACCCTTTTTTAGACAGAATTGTGTGTGAGGATTCTGTATACTTTAGCACAGGAGAAAGGTGCTGAGTATTGATATCAAAGGCACTCGGCACCTGGCAGAAGGGAGCCCCAAATGTTTCTGTTTCATTGTTTTCGAGCTGTATTATTAAAACCAGTTATCTTCTAGCTGCTTTTGACTCCTATGAAACTTCAATAAAGGAGATCAAATACCTTGGACTCCACATGTTCCCAAGGCATGGGGCGGTTTCCTGTCTCGCTTTCTGCTGGATTCCACTGTTGACTTGTCTTCCTCATATGCTGGAGCTTGACGTTTATAGATCCTATGTGGACGGGCTGTATGCGCCTCATGCGTACTTGTAGCCAAAGGTTCAATGAAATAGTCTTCATTCGCAAGCCGAAATACACCTGTCTGGGAGGGGGAGAGAAAGGCACAGTCATTTGTATGATGCATTGACTCACAGTGAAGACAATTACAGTGGGATGAGGGTTGCAGAATCTGTCATGAGAAAATAGTTGCTTGGTAAAGAAGTTGCTTTTGCCTCTTTATCCATGCTGAGAACTATACACTCCCAGACACAGAAGAACAAACCAGCATGGACTGCACATACTAGCTAAGATTTGAGCATCAGAAAGCAAAATCCACGTGTAGTCCCCTTTCTAAAGGTGCCTCTGCTTATTCTCTGGGAAGATCCTATGTGCTGCAATCTAGCCCCAGAGACTACAATTCCCATGAGCCCTGGAGGAAACCAGGAGGGAAGTGGCTTTTGTTTTTGGGAGCTGAGTCTCTCCATGTGTGTGAAGGAAGGCTCAGCAGTCTGTGGACTCTTCCCTTTGTTTTTGGAAAAAAATGAGCCAGGCTGCTGTGGAGGAGTTTTAGCCAGTCAGGAGCTGTTAGGTTGCAGCTACAGACTTGGACTCAGAGCCTTTGGGACTGGAATCTAGTAGGCTGCTTCTGATTGCCCTTTGGCTGTACCTTTGGCTAGAAGTACTACTCTGCACCCAGCACACAGGAGGAGACTAGAACCATCCACTCCAGCTGCAAAATCTTCAAGTGCACCCACGCAAGCAAGTGTATGGGACTGACAGTTCTGAGGAGTGGGATAAATGGTGGCAGTGCACATGCCAGATAGATAAATTTCTGTTTACTGTGTTAATGTTATTCACTATTAATCTGTTAAACCCTGTTCCTTTAAGTTGTTAAGTAAAGGTTCATTCTAATGCAATCTATTAGAAGTATATTATTTATGATTTGTAATTGTTGTTCTGTGGTTAGATCCAGTTTATTCCTGGAGACTCAAGAATATGTTTATTCCTGGAGACTCCCAAGGCACACCATTAAGGCTGTGTCTACACTGGCCCCTTCTTCGGAAGAGGCATGCTAATTTCTAACTTTGGAATAGGGAAATCCGCGGGGGATTTAAATATCCTCCGTGGGATTTAAATAAACATGGCCACCGCTTTTTTTCCGGCTTGGGGAAAAGCCGGAAAAGAGCATCTAGACTGGCGCGATCCTCCGGAATAAAGCCCTTTTCCAGAGGATCTCTTATTCCTACCTGACTGCTCCAGGTTTTTTTTTTTCATTTTCAATCCAAAATGAATGATATTTTAGCAAGAAAGTCCTAAAGGTGCCAAAAAGTTTCAGATTGTATAGCAATTGATATTAACATCTACTTTACCACTTTACGTAATATGTCACAGTTATTCTCACTTCGGCCGAAATCAAGATTCAATGTACAGATACAAAATTACCAAGTTTTTTGGAGGAATGTTTTATTAAAGAATCACATAATTATCAGACATCCGGCAACACTGTAGACTGCTCCCATTCTTGTGCCAAGGTAAGGCGAGTACGTACTCGTGTAGATGAGTTAGATAGATTAGCATGTGTTTATTTTCAACCTTGTAACATGTAGCCTCGTTACTTCCCGACAATTAATGTTGTAGAACAGCGATAGCACATACTAAACACTATGGCACATACCAAATTTCATTGATATATCTATATTAAAATGTTTTTGAGATATTAATTAAAAACTTGGAAAATATTTTGAATATTTTTACCGCAAAATTTCATAAGAAAAACTAACTTGCAATTTATAGATCATTTTTGTCCAGAAAATCCAAAATAAATTCAAAGTATCCTAAGTGGTTAAGATATCACAAGCAGGTACATTATAAAAAAAATGTAATGTTTGTTCATTGTTTTTCGAAGATCATAACAAGAAACATTTGGATGCGGTAGCAGCACAAGAAGATTTGGCTATGGCTTCAACAAAAAAAATCAAATCTGCCCCCCATGATTGATAGCCGATTTACAGACAAGGATCTCAATGACGTCTTTACTTTTGAATTTGAAAAGCCCAAATTTGGGCTTTTGGGGAAAAAAGCAAAGAAGAAATCAGTAACGTGCAAGGTGGAAAATTAAGTGAATGGCGAGCTCAAACCATGTAGCTTCAAGACAAGTGAAGCAAGTGCCGGGAAAAGTTTCAACCTTTGGCGGCATGTAAAATGTAACCATCCTGAAAACTATGCGGCTCTGGTTACAAAAAAGGACCAGGCAGATGAGGCAAAACAGAACGCTGATGTGGCTAAACGACGTTCATCTGGCTCTTTGTAAACTCCTGGAGAAAAGTTTTTTGCAGAGCTTTATCTGAAAAGAAACCCAAAATTGAGCAAATAAAACTTGACTCATATTTGAAGTCCTCAAAGGTTAGTTACCATGAATGCCAATACTTTCCGTGAAGGGCTGATGAAAATGAATTGCTTGAGTTCAACACCGCTCACTACCTTAAGCTAACGAACAAAGGATTCCAAAAAATTGCAGGTGAAATGGGTTGGCAGCTTGGCGTTTTGATGGGGCACGATGCGGTTCGTCATTTAGTTCAGCACAGCTGAGTCTGGTCGCAAAGAGCTCAAGAAAGCTTTGAAGCAAAAATTGTGCTACCTGAAAATGGATGCGGCAACCCATGGAAACAGAAATTTCCTTGCAATCAATGCTCAGTACTACGAAGAAGGAAAAGCTAAAGCTGTGGTAAAAACCTTGGACATAATCGACACTGAAGGGTGTCACAATTCTTCCTATGTGAAAAGTCAAGTAAAAGCTATTTTAGAAAAATTTGGGATCAGTGAAATGCAAGTGCTGAGCATCTGCGTTGACAATGCAGCAAACATAACGTGTGCCGTCAAAAATTTCAGCGAGGACAATGAAACCATTTCTACCTCTGAGAACTGGGATGTGGACAGAACTGAAGCTATTTTGCCTGATGAAGGAACTAAAGGAATGGATGAAATCGAACTCAACATGGATGCTGCTGCGCAATGGGTTAAGGACCCTAGTCTCATATTTCCAACATGTCTTCATGAGGACGACTCAAAAGTCCAACTGATGAGGTGTGGTATTCATACTCTTCAGTTGGCAATCTGGGATGGACTGAACAAAGAACATGTGAAGAAATTTCTGGCAAAAATTCGACAAGTTGTTGTCAAACTACAAATCCCAAGTATTCTGCTTGATCTACGTGGGGTAACTCAATCATTGGATACTGTGACTCACTGGGGTTCAACATTTGATCCGCTTCTCGTTTTTCAATCTTACTGTGAACAAGTGGCTGCTGCTGGAACAAGAGAACTCAAGTTATCAAAAGCTGAATGGGATGAAGTGAAGAACCTGCGAGACCTCTTGGCAAAGCCAAACCAAACAACCTATCTATTGGTAGGCTAAAAGTTAAGTCTGTTTTTGAGGCCATTCACAGCTACCCACACCACATACAGGCTGCCTATAGAATTGCTTTGAGCATGCCAACAACTCAAGCTAGTGTAAAGCAACTGTTTTCGGCTTTAAAGTTAATTTTAAATGATCTGCGGCAGGCTATGAAAGATGACTTGATTGCTTCAATAATTTTTTACAGATTGAATTATGAATTATTCTAGTTTGTATCATTGTTGATGACATTTAAATTGTTTTAAAACTCTGAATAAAAATAATGTTTTTTCAAAATTACAGTATGCACTTTATTTAGTTAAAAATTAATTTGAATCAGAGCGCGGAGCGGAGTCGGAGCAGAGCTAGAACAGTCACTATTACTGCTGGAGAGGAGCTAGAGCGGAGCAATTCAAAAATTTGATTGCTCCAAATCCCTGAACCTTCTTTTTCTCACCAGGTCACTCTTTGCTTCTGCCCTCATTTAAATAGTTCTCTATAATTCTTTTGTAACAGTCTGAAGTACTTATAGTGCTTACTCCAGTACTTTGAGTAGTTTTTGTAGTATTTTTATTAGTGTCCCTTTAATTTCAAGGTAGCTACTGCTGCCCATTTACACTGTCTAAACACTCATGGTTTTTAATGGCCTTTAACCTCTGGTTTCTTATGGTCACACCTCAGAAGAACTTTAGGGAAGTAGAGGCACAGGAAGCTGTAGGGGTCTAAGCTCACTGCAGCCTGGAGACTGGAGTTACTCACTAAGCCAAATGATTGCATGGACTGTACAATGAGGCTGTGCTGTTAACATCTTTCCTTTGGCAGGAAACAAAATGTGAATGCTTTGTTTAACAAACTCTCCACTCCTGACCCCTAAGGGAGCAGTGAGTTTGAGTCTTAGGTCTGCAGTATCAAACAGTTTCATCACTACAGGTTGAACCCCTCTCGTCCGGCTCCCTCAGGACCGAACCGCTTCCAAACCAGAGAATTTTCTGGACCACAGGAGGCCAATATTGTCTAGTAGTATTACCAACACTTCCACTACTTACTGGGATGCTAGAGGACATTGAGGGGCAGATTGGAGCTAAATAACAAACACAGAACATGGTTAGCCAAGACTGGTGACTGTAAACAAACATTATGGGACCATGAGAAACTTGGCCACATCCTTAAAGAGTGGACGTCTGGCTAACTAACATGCTGGATGATGGATGTTTCCGGACCAGATGGTGCTGGACTAGAGAGGTTCAACCCTATTACTAGGAAACATGCTGATTCTCCTGCCTCTGACCTCTCTGAATTTGCTCTATGTATCTGTTTCATTGATAGGAACTGGGTGTTTCGGAGCAGGAGTTTCTAGGTTTCTGAGTAGTGGATGATAGTTGCTTATGCTGCCTCACGTTAATTTTTAATTTGTAACTTTAGTACCAAAGTTTCTAATGCCCTTATTCATTACACTGAGATGAAGACTGCAGTATGTATGTGTTGTACTTAACTTCTATGATAGTAGCTAAGGCATTGTCTGAAAAGATTTCAGAGCAAAAAACAGACTGATATAGACGGTGCCAGACAGAATAGCCTTATGGGCTGCAGGCAGTTATGCATATTGACAACATAGTAGAACTAACAAGAGAAGTTAGTCTCAGTTGTAAAGTCTCACAAAAGCCTTCCATGCACCTGACTTTTGTGGAGCAGTTTTGGTGATGGAGGTA